TTGTGCTCTGCTCGGCTCGTCTTGGAAGTCAAGAGATCAGATTTGGGAGCGACCCAAATGGAGCGCGAGTCGGAACACCAGTAGGATTTGCTAATTGTTGTGGCGATAGCTGCTGTCAGCGAAACGAGCCGATAAAGACGTATTTCGTTCCTTTTTACGCCTTCGAACTCTGAAAGGAACATGTTCACAATTAGGAATTGTACAGTACAAAGTGTGCCTCTTATTTAATGAGATACACACTGTCAGAATTGTTAATAAATAGTTTATGAAGGCAGCTTTTACTGGTTTTTTTAATGTTCTAGCCACAAACTTGTGATCTGCTCAGGCTACTCACTCTGTTAAGCTACACTACAACCACTTTAAAGAGGAGTCCAATGTGCGACCTTCATAAATTTAAGCAAAGCCTGACAGTCGTGTCCCAGTGAAGCATTAATCATATCGCCAGCAGCGCCAAGTTTTTGGAGGAAAAAAATAATAATAAAAAAATCTGGAAATGTTGAACTGTGGTAGTATTTATATGTGCATCAGTACATAAACGATGTAACATTTATTTTAATATTGATTAATAAAACTCCCTCCAAAAGTTCCTGGTAAACAATTCCTACCTCCGAGTGGCTGGGTGGTCGAGTGAGACCGAGCCTGGTTCCTAGAAGTGATTCTAGATGCTTGTTTAATGTTCATTAATAAATTAATACATTGTTTAAACGTTCATGAGTAAATTCAGCTGGATGTGTGAAATCACGTAAGACACTAGACAGTAATTAAATGAAATTTAGATAGAACGCGGAATAATGTAAGCTCAATGTCCAAAAAGTTTTGTCAGCAGATTATTGAATTGAATTATTGTCCAACGCTACTTCAAGGCGTTAATTATGAATCAGCACAATGAGATTTCTCATTTCTTTATTGTGGCAAGAAAAGATTAAAAGCTATAGTTTTGTATATCAAAATTTTCTCTTTTTTTTTTTTTTTTACTGTATCAGCTAAAAACCGAATTTGAACGACTGCTTTTCGAGATGTCTGACAGAAGCTGCACACGCAGGGCTTGACCGGCCGCGACCTGAAGCAACAATTTTGAACGCGTGAATCTTGTGCTGCCGCCGTGGGAACTTGTTCTGCCCGATTGTTTCTGAAGCCTCAAAGCAGACCCCTTCACAAACAGTGCATCTCTGGCGAAGAAAGGCCCCCTTTGTGTACGCTTAATGTGAGGGAAATACAGTTGCTTAGCAGACATACTTGTTGAAATCATATGACAGCTCCCTCTGTGTCTGTGCTCGGTCGTTTTCTCGTCCGGTGTCTGGGGCCCCGGCAGAAAAGGTGAGAAAGACCATTTGTCCCACGATGTCCTTCCTGCCTTAGGATCACACACTGGTCTGGCCTGAATGGCTTCGTCCTTCGCCGATGTTTAACGTTGTGGTGGCAGAGATGTTAGCAGACCCAGTGGCTTACTTTGCGGCGCAGGTGTGCCCTACAGGGGCTTTTAATTTGATGTAATTATATAAACAAACATTCATGGAGTGTCTAAAGTAAAAATAACCGTGTTTATTAATAAATAAAAAATAACAGTGATGTACAAAAATGCTGAGAAAATCAGTATTAACATTTAGCTCATACATTTCAGAAATCTAACGTTTCCTATCTCTTAAGTCTAATTGTTTAAATGGAAAGTCAATCTACTCAACTGAGAACAGCAATAGTTCATAATATTGTACTCAATAACAGTAATCAGCACTACCCACCTCTGACATATATAACACAAAAGTAATAGCCTGTTCTTGTCAACAAGCCCGGCATGTTATATTAACCAATCCTGACTTAGCTAGCATTTTCTAGCATCAACAGCGTTCCTCAATTCACTTAGCTTGGTTGCCTAGTTTGCAGCGTGTCTGCACCACTAACCAACAGGGGTAAAACCTGCACAAATATCTTTGTGTTCAAAAGTGGCTCGGAACAACATGCGTTTTAACAAAGGCAGAAACGGGAAGTTTGGGAGCCCCGACACAAACCAAGATAGGACTGATAGAAAGTTGGCCACTCCAAGGCAAAAAAACAAAACCCAAATGAATTTATTAGCTTCTCTTAGAATGAAGCTATTCTCTTCTCGTCTTTAGAGTGGACATGGCCAACTCTAAGGGCGGGGCAATGGCACCAATGACTCCCAGTGGCCGCCCCAAACCTCCGGGTCTGGCAGTCAGTCTGACTATCATTTGTGGATGCGGTCAATCTTCACAGCTTGATATCTAGCCACTCTGTCTGAATGAGTTGACAGTCAATCAGTTTCTTCCTTATATACCTAAAAAAGACAAAACCTCATTTGTTTTGTGTCCTCCAGAGATCAGCAGCAGCTTCATACTAAAAGAGGCCAGCTCAAGGGATCGTCCGCTCTGTTCTGACAACAAAGAGAAAACGGTTACTGTGAGACTTCACCTTTTTTTCAATATACTTGCGCTAAGGCAAGCTAGACATGAACAGATAATGGAGGAGGGTCAACAATGAGACATTTGAGTGAAATAAGCACTTTGTTCCAAAGACTAGTCAGGTAGTTTGGACAGACGGAGTGCAGATTAAGACCCTCTTCGTCAATTTGTAATTTAAGAAATGGCTTCATTGTCTTCCTCGGGGGTTGATTGTGCAGCAAGAGCTTCAGTTTGGGTTGTTTACGCTGCACATTAGCAAGTCAACAATCAATTGCTGAACGTCTTGGAAGGGGGAAAAAAAAGAGCAAGAAAAGCTTTTATCGTGAGCCTTGTTGTTCACTCAAGACGTCTGTCCTTTGGTTGTTGACAGAAACGCTGCTTCAAGCACAATGGCTTAGAGTGCAGAAAATACGCAGAAGGCGTACGTATGTGCAGACAAAGGGGTTTGTGTGGTGGAGGATTCCCAAATGTGTATTCTACCCCCAAAAGATTCAGGTGCCTGCGCCGAGCCCCTCTGCTCCCTTTATGGCTGTAAGGGTATCAGGCACCGGCGTAAGTAACTCTGCGGTCGGCTTGATTGACGCGCCAGGCCTCACCGCCAACCATTGGAGAGGGGGATCTCGTATCGCCAAGGCGCTGGCCCACGTGCTGCTGGTAGCTTCCAAGGAAAATAAGCAGCGTGACATCAGGGCTTTGTTTCAGCAGTGAGGCCCCTTCTGTTTGTGTTTAATATCGCTCAGAGAAAAGTGGAAAGGCAGCCAGCCAGCTTCTTCTGTCCCAACCGCTGAGCTTGGTGCTTTGGCGGCGAAGTGACGGTGGTCCTGGGTGTTTGCCGCGAGAGACCCTCCGTCCCTCGCTCTCGCTCTTTGTTCGTAGGGTTTTTTTATTTTCTTGGTTTCTGTGAGGCCACACAGTTTTGACTGCAGGGAAATCAGATCTCACAACACCGGGGGCCAGTCGAGGTTATAGAGGGCCAGACAGTAACAACAAAACTAACTGACGATGGAGATCTGGGGAAGACGATATGAAAAAGAAGATATGAAGTCAGAAGACAAGTGGAGAGAGGCAGAGGGGGACATCAAAAGGGAACTGGGTGAATTTAAGACAGATATTTAGAGGGAAAGGAGGGGAGAGTATAGATGAGGTGAGAGTAATGCAGAGGGGAGAGGAAAGCAGAAAAAGAAAGAAGTGAGGGGATTCTAGTGAAGGCCAGCCACGTCTGGGTGGTTTTCCTGAGGAGAGGCTCTTTGATACTCCAGCACTCACACTCCAATGCGTTCAGACAGGAGTTGACAGTGGTTTCGGGCAGCGGTTTGTCTGGCCAGCAAGCTTTGATTTAGAAGACCCTGGACGGTGGGCCGAGTATTTGGCTCTTTGATTTTTGCTAAGTACTTTGGATGGAAAGTCAGCTCTATTTTTCTTTCTTCTTCTTCTTTTCTTCTCCTTTTTCTTTTAGATTGTCCAAACCAAAGGCTAACGTGTTCCAAGGCTTTTACTTTTTTCTTGTTCAGTTTACTGGGGTTTTTTTGGTGGGAAAATTTGCAAAAGATGTAACTTGGGCTTGGCAAAAACTAACTGTGACGGCTCTTATCTAAATACTTGAAGTGAAGAAATGACCCTATATATTCTGCTGACAGGGGAAAGATGGAACTGTTTCACTTTACAAGCATGCTAGCCTGCACAGACCAGCCTCTTGTTATAGACTTCACTTCATACAGAGGGTTTGGACCCTCGGCTATTGAGAAACTGTTCTAAATACAGCTAACAGTTAGCTAGACTTAATGATCTAATGAGCTTGCTAATGGTTGTTAGCTCTAGCTAATGGATGCCTTCAACAGAGGCATATTGTCTTAAGTTTTAACCATTAGCCAATTGCTAATGTTTGTTTGTGACATATGTAATAAGCCAGTTGGACAATATGAAGCTTACCGGAAATTACCTACACTGTAAACAAACATCCTTCACTCCACAGTGTTGAGCTGAACCAGATGGCTGTTGATGTTAATTCAATATTTTGGAATTGACTGAATGGTTTTGTTCACTTCCTCCACTGCCATTGCTAAAACTACAGGCAGACTATAATTTCAAAACAGCTCAGAAAATCATCGTTCACAACTTCTCCTTTTGTTCGTTGATTGGACTGGTTGAAATTTTGCCAGAAGAATCTAAGTCAATGGGAGAAATCCCAGACAGAGCAATGGAGGGCGATGAGAATAAATTGGGACTGTGTAGGAAGGCAACACCCAAGCTGCAAGTAACTTTGTGTTGCATAAATCACATAAAAACCCCAATAAGATGGAACGAGGCTGGTGGTTACAAGAAATGAAAAAGTTTGGAGTGCATAAATGCTTTTGCATGGCATTGTAGCGGTAAGAATGCATAAGTGGATCCGCTGTGGTGCAAAAGAAAAACCTCCAGAGAGGACCAAAGATTTGCTACAAAAAATAGGACCAAGGGTGTGCGTGTGTATGTGTGTGTGAATATGGAAGTAGAAGAAAGGATGAAAGAGGAAAGCCACTGACGAGCTGCTGGCGAACAATGTTAATAAGCTGTTGGTTTTTCTGGTTTTTCCTCTTTTTGCAGCAGCTGTACGCCGCACAGCTGGCGAGCATGCAGATCTCGCCGGGAGCCAAGATGGCGCCCCTCCCGCAGGCTCCCAACTCCTCCGGTCCGCTTTCACCCTCCAACCTCAAGAGTGAGAAGCAAGCGTCCAGCCCCGTCACTCACATTAAGGTGCGTGAAAATCCAAATGGCGTTCACGATCGGGAGAGGCGTACGAGCCGGAGTCGCGTACGGTTATCAGAAGACGGACCCACCGAGCCGGCGGTTCATACGGGTTCCCCTGTAATTAATAAACGCAGAGTTAAAAACGGCGTCTTAATGCACGCAACAGGCAGCATAATAACACAAAAGGAAAGAGTGAGTTCAGAATGTGCGCTATGGGAAAACACTTAAGACTTGACGATTAGCGCAAAGTAAAAAAAAAAATAAAAAAACTAATAAAAAAGTGAGAGGCTGGAAATTTGGAAGATGTTGAAACGATGATCTGTGCACGGCCCAGTGCTCTTCACCCTCAATTAGTGGCAGCTTATTTAAAAGTTGCGCTCTGACACACATACACACACACACACACACCCACACACACAGGACACTGGCGCTGGCTGCTGTTTGGCAGAAGCCCAGACCTCTTCACTGGAGAGAGCGTGCGCCTCATCTTTACTCAACAACCAGGCGGTAATGGAAACCACGTGTGTTTGTGGGGCACAGCTGCAGCCGGCGTCACAATAGGCCGGCGTCAGAGCTGGCCGCCCTCAAACAGTGGTGTAGTGCCCCACCCTCTGCTAACCTTTACTGTGCATGCGCGACCCCCATCCACACTGAACCCCCTCGCTGTTTTTCCACGACGAGGCTCATCCTAAACTCAACACTTCATCAGCTGCAAATTGGATCCGTGTTGGTGACGCGTTCGCTGCCAAACCGAAAATATAGACACAGACACCAATGGTGGGCACATGTGTTTTTGTTTTTTGCTAATGTATGGTTACAAAAATTGATTTGTTCTTGTGTTTTTTCTTTTTGTTTTTTGTTGCTGGTTCTCAAAACAATGTCTCAGATCATCCAACAGATCTTTCCGTCACGGATAACTTGAGTAAATACTAAAGTTAGTTTCAAGACTTAGAAGAAAACAGCTATCCTACGATGGAGTATTACAGCCATGCTAAGAAAAAAAATCTACCATTAAAAAAACAGTTCTAAAAAATAATAAAATTATGAGAATGAAATTGTAAAAATATGAAAATAAAGTCATATTTTAACATTAAAAAAGTCAGTTTTACAAGAACAAAGTTGTACAGAATAAAGTCAGAATAATATGAGAATAAAAGCATATGAGAATAAAGTTGTAATAATATTCAGTGATGCCGTAATAATTTTACTTTAATTTTGTAGTATTGTGACTTTATTTGAGCCATTTTGGCCAATTTTTAATGTCAGATATCGGTAACAGAAGAGAACAAACCGGATCAGTGCAATCCCTGTTCAGAAAGTGCAAACAAGGCAGAAAATACAAAAATATCTGGCCTTTATGCCAGTTTTTTAGTTTTCTGTGGAACGTTTCTAAAATCTCATCTTGTCGTGTGAATCGTATATCAAGTCCCAGCGGGTCTGTTGAGCAGAACGCATCCTTACACCCCTCACATCTCCTCTCTTTTCCGGACAGGAAGAAGGATCCACACAGCCACTGAACCTCTCCGCCAGACCGAAGACGGCCGAGCCGTATCGCTCGCCGACGTCGCCCACGCAGAGCCTGCTGCCCGTAAACAAGACCAGCCCAGTCGGCCTGGGCAAGGGTCGCATCCCGAGCCCCATCCCCATCCCCAGCATGGGCCGAAACGCCTCCCTGGGTAGGTGGCAGAAACATCCCACCGGACCAAACCCCGTTGAACCTTCTCGTCCCAAAGTCACGTTGTGTGTAAACACGCTTCCTCGCGTCTACGCCGTACATCCGCCCCCCTTCCTCCCCCAACAAACACGTCCTCGCTTCCGTGTGAAAAAAGAAAAAAAACGTCCCTTTAAATGGAAAAACAAAAACATCACGCAGCCAGACGCTTCGCTCCTCCCTGCCACCCACAGACACACTGTGCTGCGCCGCGTATGCCCCAACGACTGCAGACACCTCAACCCCACCAGGAGACCTCTGCGTGTGTGTGTGTGTAAAATCTGAGTGAGTGTTTGTGTTTTACAGGAGTCCAAAGCCCTGTATTTAGCCCCAATGAAAACCTGGCAGCGGAAGCAGTGAAACCCAGCACACGTTATTTGGTTTTTAAGAGCTTCCTCGCATTATTGTCTGCCCGCGCTAGACCTTTTATGCCCCTACCTCTGCTATCTGTTATTAAGGCCAATCTAAAGCCTCTCATTATACCACTCCCCCCACCCTCCACCTCAGAAAACAATTTCACCGGCTTCTCTATTGTGGCTTTGAGGACGAGACGCTTGTGCTCTCTGCAAAAGTTATTTTTCGCCCGTTTTTAGCGGCCACCCAAGCGTACAGTACCTCCTTCACTCGTGTGCTAATTAAACGAGGAGAGCAACGGAAACTTTACATCCTTTTTTTTTTCTTACTTCTTTTAATTCCTCAAGTGCGCGTGTGGGGCTTCAAAAGTGAGGAGTGTGGCGCACAAACAAGCAAAGCGGAATGGAGGGAGGGAGGTTCTCCTCAGTTTCGAAAACCGAAAAACAACACGTGCCCGAAGATCTGATCTTGGGAATTCAAATGTTAAAATATTCTCTGCTTTACCTAAACTAATTAATCAAAAAAATTTAGGTTGGCCACAGTAATAATTATAAAATCAACACTGAAAACCCCCCCAGTATTCTTGGTCTAGTTTCAAGACCAAACATCTTTGTACATTTGAAATAAGTCAAAAGTAACTTACTAGTAACTTTTCAGCAAGATAAACAATTCCTTAATATTATTGAATAAGTAATAATCTGCCTATTCCACAAGCAGACTAATTCACTTTGCACAAGACATTTCCCCCATGTTATACGTGGAAAATATCTGCCAGTGGAACTAGAACGTTTTCATCAATATTGAGTCTCATATGGTGCTGAAAAGTTCTTAATAAGTTAGTTTTGTCTTATTTCAAGTGTAGAGATATTTGCACTAGAAATTCAATCTGGAGAGACTCACACAGAGAAGATAATAGCAGTTGTAGATTTAATGATACAGAATCTTTGGCGCTCGGCCCCGGCTGAAGACTGTGAGTCGCGGATCACCGCGGGCAGGACATCAGCTCGGCCGAGCTCAGACAGTCGTCCCCGGGGCCGAAAACCGGTGGTGGAGCTGGGTGCAGAAGGATCCTGGAAACGTCCATCAGAACGGAGGTGGAGAAGAAGGGAGGAGGTGGGTTGTGCGCAGCGACGAGCGGGTTGACCCTCTGATAGCTTGGCTTTTGAAGACGGTCCTGGATGATGATAGGCTCGAAGGGGAGAATTGCTCCAGCCCTGATTGGTTGAGGTAGGACGTGGCGATTGCGAGATGAATGTCAGCTGGATCGAGTCTCCCAGGTTGAATTTTCGCCTAAGCTCCATCTAGATCAAAAATACTTGGTGACATTGTGTTTCTGCAGTGAAGGTCAAACCAGTGACAAGACAGGAAGGACATTTTCTACCAGTTATTTAACATCCCAATTCCACCTTTCTACCTTTCTTTTGTAAACTAAATTTAGTGATTTAGAATCTTAAGATGCAATTTTATCGAACATTCAAGCATGCAAATCAAACGTGTCACTGTTCGTGCTTTCAACCGTTCCCCTTCTTCTGCTGTGTCCATGTGCAGACATCTTGTCCAGCCTTAACTCAACAGCGTTGTTTGGGGACCAAGACGCGGTTATGAAAGCCATCCAGGAGGCGCGGAGCATGAGGGAGCAGATCCAGAGGGAGCAGCTCCACCATCAGCAGCAGCAGCAGCCGGGCCACCAGAGTCTGGAGGCCAAGCTGTCCGCACTCAGCAGCATGAACCTCAACAACAGCAACAAGGTTAGAGGGACGTTTGTATGCAAGTTGGGACGTGCCCACTCTTTTCACCAATGAGTTTTATAGGAGTCAGTAAGGTCTAATCTCTTCAATAATACCAAACCTTAAAGGAAAATCTTTTTTTTTTTTAGCTTTACGTCATGTTATGTCATTCCCTCATCAAAAACATACCTGCAGTGTTGCTTTGACTCTTTTCTGCATGTTTGAGAAATACTTTAATCTCCCATGGCAACCATTAAGCTTTACAAAACATCTGGGTGGACCTAGCCCCGCCTTCGAGGCACAGCTCCTCCTCAGAGCTCCTCCTCAGAGCTCCAATTTCCAAGCTTTTGAGCTCCTGAAATACAGAGCAGCTTTCTCACTCAGCTCCTTCAGACTAGCTGGAAACAATTAGCAAACACCTGGTGGAATTGTACATCTCCTGAGCTCATTATAGGAGCTACTTCTCAGTGCAATCTGGTAAAAACGTTAAAAGGTTAACAGAGGAACCATAATGCGATGACTTCTTGATGTTTCAGAAAGTTTTTAAAGAGACATTGTCATTGTTCAAGAAACATGATAATGTGAGTGTTGTGAGCCAAAACATTATGGGTATAGTAGAACATGGTCAGCAATATTACCGTGGTAGACTGTGGTATTCTTCCATATACATGCCTCAGTGTTTGTACATGGAATAATTGTATATAGCACCTTTCCAGTCATACTGACTAGTGAAAGTACTTAACAGTAAACCAACTTCCACCCATTCACACTCACAAACTCGCACAAACATATAAACACATATGTGTGTGCAACTTGCCTAATGCCTAAAGTGATTAGGCAAGTTGGGGTTAAGTGGCTGGCCAAGTGGCAATACTGGAATCGACCCTATAAGCTTCCCATTGCAGTATGACTGCTCTGTCACTAAGCCTTAGTCACTCTCAGTCACCTTTAGTTGTCACCTTTAATTGTCCAAAGTGTAAGAAGAAGCTAGCTCCCACTGGATTATGCTAACACCACCAGTCTGAACCCTACATTCAAGGTAGGATGCCTTCCCTTAGTAACATAAAATTATGTCTTTGACCTATAAAAGTCACAGCTGAAATTAGGTGTTGAGACGGGGCAAAGTTTTCCCAATTTACTGCTGTTCAGTTTTGTTGAGCCTGTGTGAATTGTAGCCTCAGGTTCCTGTTCGTAGCAGAGTAATGCCCAAGGTTCTAGGTATGATATGTCTTTCATTCATTGATTGGATTCTGCATGGCATAGTTGTAATGAGCAGCTACTAAATGTGAGCTGCTGTTGCCATTCTGTAATCTGATCTTTGAAATTAATCAGGTATTTTTCCTCACAAAACTACTGCTGATTAGACAGTTTCTTGTTTCAGACAAGAATGTCATGGAAAATCCCATTAAATCCACAGTTTTCTTAAATGTTTAGGCCAATCCATTTGGTATCAACAACAATGCAATGTTTGCAGTCATTGAACATGACATTGTCCTCTATGTAACTGGGATCCAGTCCTGGATATGAAGTCAAGTTGTTAGCACATTTTAGACATATCTGTGCCACATCTATCTATTACTATCTATACCGTACCGTCAAGTAATGAAGAAACCTGATGAACCCAGATTTTTTAATCCAGTGTATGGTAAAACACCAAACGCCTCTGGAAAAGTCACCCAAAAATCAAGTTGTATCCAGCCTTTCCCAGCCCAAACCAGTGTACAGGGAGCCATGTGTTAGCAAGGATACTAATGTACCAGCTTCGACCTGCTGAGAGGATTCTCCATTTATCCCCTAAAGCATTGGTTTCTGTCTCTGTTGCCCTGAAACATACACTTTCTTGGAGAAACGGCGACACGCACCTCCGAAGTTCTGAAGCCGACTCATTCCTGTGGCTCATTTTTCTTTTGTATTACCTTGGCTGAGTGTGCGGGGTTTCTCCTCAGACAGTGCCTCGGTCTGAGGAATATTCATGGATGATATTTGGTGTCATTTGGCTCGGGCTGCTGCTGCTCTTAAGTACTTCTCTTTTTCTCCTCTCGTCTCTCTGGCCACCCAGAAGCCAAGAGCTTTGAAGAGAGAGCAGCTGGGCCAATGACAAGTGATGGTTTTGGCGTGTTAGTGTGTGTATATTTGTGAGCTTGCCCTAAGTCTGTGAGTGGGGCTTTTTTTTTTCCCTCGGTTTTTGATACATTATGTTAACATTAGCCTATGTTCATTTGTGTGTCTGTCTGTGTGTGTTCGCCCTGGTTGGGGCGTTTTAGCCCAAATACAGGGTGTGTTTGAGAGACAAATCCTCCTCCTCTAGGGATGTTCAAATCAGAACATTGTAGCAACATACCGATCTCCAGTTTTTACAAAGCTTTGGCCAGCTAATAACGATTCTGGCCTCCCAGTTTTGAGTCAATTTAGTGTTTATCAACTGGCACAGAGGCACTCTCTGCATTTCCATTTCAGATGTGAGCAAGTCCTGCCACTGTTCCATTGACTGAGAAATCTTGTGTTTTTATGCTTGTTAACGCATTAAGTCAATAAAAATCATGGCAGTGACAGATGTAAACAGTTACATGAGATATATTCATATTTCAAAGTGTTGTTATTTGCAGGACCTGCTCATGCTTATGTATATGTTTGCTGATCAGAAAACATACAGTTGTTGAATTTCTCACAGGCCGGCAAATAGTTGACAGCAACAAGAATTGTCCAATTCGGTCACCAGAGACATTTCTCTTCAGTCTCATTTCTGTTGTTATAGCTTGGTCACTGTCGGGGAGATCAAGCTAGACTCCTTATACTGAGATCTCATATCAACAGGAGAAATTTACAGGCCAAAACATCTTCCGTCAGTCTGATCAGCCAATCATGGATTCTTCGGATCAGACATTCTGGGGGAAAAAAACAAACAAACAAGGGGGAATAACGCGATTAAGCTGACTCTCCTGTGCAATTGATCCCATGTTGCTCAAAACCAAACAGATAAAAGGGGAGGAGAGGAAGTCATAAATATTTTAGGGGTGGAGACTTTGAACCTTCCTCAACCCCCAAGTAGGTCATGATTGGTGCGCTCTAAGGATGGGCTGTTTTTGAATCTTCTGGACTTGTTTGGCTTGCATCTTTAGGAAGAAAAACATCCGAAATCTGGCGAAGAAGAAGAAGAAAATCCAGCGCCGTACACAACTCTGGCTCCCGAGTGGGTTTTTCTTTCTGAGTCATTATACCAGTAAACACTGAAAAACTCATAAGCATAAATTATATAACAGCTACGGATAAATTCCTTATAAAAGTTTAATGCGACTTGTCTTCTGCAGGTCCAGCTGAAAGTACCACGGAGATGAGTTTGTGCATCAAAGCAATTTAGGTTTTTTTTTTGCTTACAGTTAAAGTCAGAAACAGTCACACGTTAAGGTGGGCGAGGACTGCTGCGAGTCGTTGAAACTCGACATTTTCCAACTTTATAGGAAACAAAACCAAAGCAATGCAGTTATTTAGTTTACAGCTGCCCGCCTACAAATAAAAAGCTCACTGGGAAAGTTTTAGTGATTGTTTCCGCCGGCGCTTGTTGTCATGTTGTTGTTCGCCACCTAACAACAGGCTCCAGGGCCGTTTTTCTACTCAAATGTAAATGCATCAACTCCTGAAAAAAGAAAAAAAAAACTGTTGGTGACAATGTTTTTCTTCTTCTCCTCCTTTTTCCCCCAAACTCCCCAAAGACTTTGCTCTGTCTCAAACAATTCATGGATGGAACTTGCCGGAGAGACCCAAGAGTGTGACTCAACGCTTCCACCTTCGGGAGGCAAGGAGAGCGCCGCTCTCTTTACCTTGGACCGCCCTTTGTTTTCTGTTCGCCGAATAAGTTTCCGACTCCCCTTGAATATTTTAAGGCTCGGTCCTTTTGTTTTATGAGGCCGCACTGACAGTGGATTTGGGTTTTATTGAGGAAAAGGGGCAGAAGCTGAAACCGATACCTTCGGCGTTGAACGTTGGGCTATTCATCGCTCCAGCTGACTCGGCTCAAACCGAGTCGCCGGGCGGCGTTTGTGTTTGTTTCGTTATGTGTGTATTTTAGTCCCATAGGCATTTCTCTAAGACGTAAAAGTGATCCAAGCCCTCTATCTGTGTATGTGTGTGTGTGTGTGTGTGTGTGTGTGTGTGTGTGTGCGTGTGCGTGTGTGCGTGTGTGTTCTGGCTCTGCGCTGGCCTTGGCCATGTTAATGTCATTATAGCTGGTGTGCAGACTACAGGCCCGGCCAGTTAGTGGCATTGTTGAGTATCACCTTACGCTTACGTTGCTTCCAGCTGGCCTGTGGCTGCCAGAGCTCACAGAAATAGTCGCTGTGTTGGACTGTGTGGGTGCACACAAGTATATGCAAAAGAGAAAGAAAAAGAGCGTGCACGCTCTTTTTTATCTCAACAGTCACAAAGCACTCAATAAGCCCTGTTAAGCATCTGAACGACTGGAGCGTTTAAACTGCTGGCATATTACGTGACGACAAACTGGACGCGGTCGTTTGTCATGTTACAACATGAGGACAAAGCGGCATTTGGGGGAACCGGTGCAAAGTTGGTCCTGTATAATGAATTGGTGTTGGTATGATATTAATCTGGCTGAACACCAGCAGCCTGGATCCAAAAGTAAAAGTGGTTTAAATTTGTAAATTGATTAAGAAAGGACATAAATACATCTGTTTTCTCTCTCACAGCTCGCCTGCTAATCTCGTAAATATGGTTCATTGGATTTTTGCTTCAGTGCTTTTAGCAACAAGGTAGTTCAAAGTAAAACCATAATGCGATACCTAATTATGAGTTGAGCGATAAACATTACATTTTATCAAATGCTATCACGAAAACCCTTCAAATATACATCAGATTATCAAAGGCGATTCTGAACAAGTGTCTTTTCATCCAATTTTTCTGAGAATTTCTAACCCAGGGGTAAATGGATTGTAGTATTAGGTTCAAGGAAGATTGTCTTCTGTCTCAAACATTTTCCTCCTGTGAGTGATCTTTTTCACCATTGAAGGATGGACTTTGAATTGTTTCTAATGGCATTTTAATCCTTTCAGATTTTGGGCTGCAGATCATTGCTTCTCTGAGATTTTTGCTGATGCTACCACATCACTTAATGACCCAGATTAGGAAAACTGCCAAAACTCCTTCTCATTACTAATTAAATGAGTTCACTTGGTTAGCACAGGTTTAAATAATGTTCCTACATTTACTCCTACATCTGCACGTCGATGCAACGGGTGGATTTTTCCATGTGGGTTTATTTTTTTAATTGAAATTCGATTTTATGACCTTGTAAAGACCAGGGGTGTCAAGATGCATAAAAATCATACAGTTAACAGAGAGTGTTCTTTTTTTTTTTTTTTTTTTACTATAACTGTTTGCCATATTAAGAGAAATTTCACTGCCAACAGTGATGTTGTTCCACCTCCAGTGTTTCATTTACGACCATTAAAGTTACTTTCAAATTCCCTTTACGTCGGCTTTTCAAGGACCGATCGCAATATATGTACAAATTTTGCAGTATACAGGAAGCATAAATTTTGGGCTCTTTAATTTAATACGGCCCATTCCACAGAAAGTCTTTTGTATGTCCAGTGTTAGCGTTGGTCAGTATGCTTGCACTGTTATGCAGGGAAGGTCTAGACCAAGGAGAACAAGCGACTTGGTTCTTCTGTTTTAGGAAGCGTGCCCAATGAAACTCGGAGTCCTGATTAAAAAGAGTGACAACCATAATTTTTCTTCAAATGATGTCTGAATGATATATGCTGTAGCAATATATATTCAAAAAAACTGAAAGTGGAACCTTCAAATAGCCTTTTGAGTGTTTTCTTATTAGGAAAATCGACCTCGAAGGGTGGGAGCAAAGGGGTTTGAATTGGAGAACATCTGGGGAAAAAAAGAGAGAAGAAAGGAGGGCTGAAAAAGACAAGAGTAGGATTTGACTGACAAACCTATCAGCTGAAGAAAATCAGAAGAAGGAAAAGAAAGGGGGGTCTTTCTTTTCTTCCTCCAGGACCAATCAAGTTTTGGAGGTTGCCAAAACTTGATTGGTCCTGGAGGAGACAGTAAACGGTTGTGGGTCAGCTGGAGGGAGGCTGTGCTGGCAGAAAGAAAGTTGTAACTGTGGTAATGAGCTCAATACAGTACGAATTAAAAGAAGAAGAAGGGAGAAAAAAAAAACACTCAAAAGTTTAGAGCATTGCCTTGGTAACGATGGCGAGATGCAAAACGACAAACAGAGAAGAAACCGAGCAGAACAAAAAGAGTCGAGCCACTCTTAAATTTAGAACTACACAGCTACTCAGTGAAGAGTTGAGACGGCCGCATCAGCTGCTGGTATTTGTCTTTCTTTTTTTTTTAACAGATTAACATTTTCAAAGTGAGTCTTGCACTTCTTTTCAACCGCTTTTCTCTTTCGTTTCTGTGTATACACGTACTATAACGAGAGACATCTATTACCATACTCCAAAAAAAGGGGCAACGATCCAGTCTGAAACCAGCAAACGCGCCGGCCAAACCTATTTCAATCTCAGCTAAACAAAGGGAAGACAGCTCCTTATTGCATTTGCCACAAAGGGACTTTAAAGAAGACCGAAAAAGGAGAGCAACCGCAAAGGGAATATCTTGAGAATCGTCGACCCGGGGGCCTGTCGTTAATCTGCCCTTTGGATCTTCCCAAACTCTGCTGATGATGTCTTGGTCCATTTAGCAAAACCCCAACTTCTTTTTTCTCAACTTTTCCATTGGTTTCCTCCCGTTTGCCGCAGAGTCATCTTTCCAAACTGTTTAACCTGTTTAAACATTGCGAACTATAGAACATCTGACATCCAGCCTTTACGGACAGATTGCCAAGATTTCTCTCGCCACATCTTTAGAAAGAGGCATCATCCGATGCGGCCTTCCACAAGCCGTCCTTTGGCAAGGCAGGAGCCTGAACGGGAGGTTCTCGGTGAACTTGAGTGGCTATTATTCTTCTTTAAGCTGGTTTTCCATTCCTTACTTTATCTCACTCCGTCGCTCCCTCCCTCCCTTTTTCTCTTTTCTTTAGTCCTTTGTTAGGAGGTTGCTTCCTGCGGTGAGCGTGGCACTGCCCAGGCACATGTTCTGTGGTAGGCCTGATTACAGCCCTGCTGTAGTGCTGACATTGGCCTGCACCAACTCCTCATCTATAAACACACACACACATACACACACGCACGCACACATTCAGTGGGCCCTAAGTTCCACCAACTCTGCCAGCAGCTACCGCGGCATGACTTCACCCGGCAACCATTCTTTGCGTCAAACAAAATGCCTCTGTCACCAGAAAAAGAACGGGAGGAGAGAGGCAACTGGGGAAAAAGAAGAGAGAAGAAGAAAGGGAAGAGTGTAGGATGTGCGGTAGCTGTGTGAAGGGGTTTGATGTGTGAAGGAGTTTGATGTGTTCGGACGCACTTTGGGCTAATTTTAGCCAAGAGGCAACCGAAGACGAGCCGCTCAGAGATTGTCTATAAAAGTGGAGTGGCAGGAAGATTTGCCAAATTAGAGCAAGCATGTGATAACGGGAAGATGAAGAACGCAAAGGATTAGTCCGTCTCAAGCTAAACCATCAACCAGACGATGCTTTAGGCAGATGTTTGATGATTTTTGAATATCAGCTATTTAGTCTACAGCCAAGTAGGTGCTTGGCCAGGATTGTGCATTCACACATCCCCAAACTAAAAGCACTAAACATGGCGGGTCTGAATGCAACCAAAGGCGTGATAAAGGCTAGTCAAAGAATGTGATGCCATCTCACAGCAGTGTGTGACCAAGCAGGTCGACTTGTTAAGTTTTCATGGGTACAACCTTTATATACTCTGCTCCTCCACCCATAAATGCATTTTCGATATAAATTGCTCCCTCCAAAGGAAAAATATATGAGATATATTAACCTTTCTGAAATACAAAATACATTTTGTAAGCATGGTGAGGATACTGCAACTGGCTAACCGTGAGCTTTGAATTAGATAGTTGGGATTTACTTATGAGCTATTGGGTCAAACCTAATGTGCTTTTTTATCGCATTTTTCAATAACCTTGACTGCATTTGATAATATTTTCTTCAAATTCTGTGTTTTCACAAAATGTTAGCTTTAAAAGACGTATTTTCCCCCAACCCCATGCACCAGTTGTTTGCCATCATCTGGATGTATTATCACATTTTTACATTCTACAAATAAACCCTAGAAGAACGTTCAGTCAACTGTAGCGTAGTAAGCAATGCAGTTGCACGTGTTGTGAGAGCAGGTGGCTCCTCTGTGGTCATCTGTCCTGGGGGTTCTCTCTCCTCTGAAGGGTGCGTGTGAAGCTGAGCGGATCTGTACATATGCATGGGTATCAGATGAACCATGTCCACCACCAGATACTTAGAGGCTCAAGTACATACAGAAAGAAGCTATCTCTTAATCCATCTCGTCTCAAAATATACATTGATTTTTCACTTTACAGATTCCAGGCGAAAAAGATATGAGCCATGTAGATCCAAATGATTTGGATGGAATGTTAACAAAATGAAACCTGGAGATTTAGGGATTGTTAATTTAGTAGATTGCAGGAAAATCGTTGATGAACAATTCAAAACCACTGCTGTTCTTTTTTCTCACCAACCTACACAGACTGATTGCCACGGAAACTGACTGATAATAGCCACACTAATTTATCAGAATTTAGCACCAAAAACAATCAAACATTTCCCTCATGAAGAACAGAACATTTAGTTCATTGCAGTGTTATGTCTTTAGGCTGGATGTCTATTTTGTGTGGTTGATTTAGCTGATCAACCAGACAGTGGCGGTTGATCAGCTAAATCAACCACCTGCTCTACTGATGATCTGTTAGAGTTGATGTGTGGGTCACCTTTTTCTTAACTGAACTGAAACACACTGAATTCTGCAGCAGATCGACAAGGTTGTCAAAGTCAAGCTAGCATAACTGACCTCCTTTCCTCTCCCTCTATTTTTATTCAATTTTTTTTAATGATCTGTGAAATGTGGTAACTTGTGAAATGTGAACCTTGTTATCTAGCTGCCATAGTGTTGACAATCAGTTGACAATTAAATGCAAAGCACAGCGTTCCTTACATATTATGAGTACATTTAAGCTAAAACAAATGATAGTCATCGTCTGTGAGTAGCTTTTTACCTTCCAATAGAACGCTTGAGGTCGGAATCTTGCGCGTGTGACGTCACGTTGCGATGTGTCTATTAAAAAAAACCCTATTTAAAATAAATAAACAAGGCTTAACCTGGTGGGGTGTCAAGGAAAGCCTTCCAGCCCGCCAGGCTCATAATACACTGGGGGAAGCCCTGAAGTTTATGCAGGTTTTCCTTTGTTGCAGGAGCGGCTTCACTATGAGACTCTCAGCCAGCATCTGGGGAAGCTTGGGGAGGACGCAGGGAAGATGGTCCATCGAGTCATCGACCTGACGAGACCAGAGGATCTGGATGGTGGGTGCCTCTGTTGGACCTCCACTTCGCTTTTTAACCAAACTTTTCCTTTCTTTGCTGTATGTTATCCATTCTGTTTTTGTTTTCTGATGAGATTTGTAAAAATTCAGGCAACTCAAAAATCATTGACACATGTATCAAACGTGGATCAACAAGTGTTGATATAGATACAGGTAACCTGCTCCAGTTTCGCTGGCTCCAGGACCTCACTAAAGTACGCCGGTGTCTGGTGTCTTTGAAACATTTAGATGACTTTAGCTGTTAAAATGTGCCATTTGTCTTCAGTGTGCAAAACCAAAGCCGGACTGAGCTTAAGGCGGTCCGGCTTTGGACTGCCTTAATGATGCCTAGAAATGATGAGAAGTGACATCTGAGTACCTAATGTTCCATATGGCTTGTAGTAAGCATTCTGCGGAGCATAAAATATTCTCCTTGGATATTGCCTTGGATCACTCTGACCTCAACCCACCTGTTTCTCATAAAGCACCAGTGTTTACACAAGATGAGAAGCTGAGGAGTACTCATCATGATTTAGTTTAGAGGCAGAGGATAAACACAGGAGCCTGGGGACTGAGATAGTATCAGTCAGGAGCAAACCGACTGCAGCGTACAGCGTTCATGTCAAGGAGTGGAGGGCATCCCAGAAAGACTGGACTCACTAGACTTTAGTTGTACTCCTCGACCCAACAAGCACGGGGTTAAATTGTTTGTCAGACTTTGTTTTTTCTAATGGGAAGATGGGAAATGAATCTGACAAATGTAAAGCAAATGTCTTTGTCGTCTCTTAGGGAATAATATCACAGAGGCCCGGGTGTTCAGAGAGGCACGAGGCAGGAACAGCAGCGAGCCTCACATCAAGAGGCCCATGAACGCCTTCATGGTTTGGGCTAAAGACGAGAGGAGGAAGATCCTGCAGACCTTCCCTGACATGCACAACTCCAACATTAGCAAGATCCTGGGTGAGAATCTAGACTACTCCACTTCGGTCAAAAAATGTTTATTTCACTCAAGTATGAACTCCTCCACAGCAACAGCTAAAACCAGTATCAAAGTTTCAAACGCATTTCCTGAACCAAACTGGGGACCAGGGTACACAGAAAATGGATGGCTGGACACTAGCATTGCAGACACTATAGTTTGTTGATGAAAAGTTTTGGCACGAGGATGAGGAAAAATAAGACAATGGGAAGTTGTGGCGCCCCTTGTTTTTTAATGACTTATTGCGTGAACAAACTAATTGAATTGTGATATTGTTTCTTATTTGATGGAAATACTGCAATTGCGACATTGTATTTTTCAACATCAATGGAATACACAGCAACATAAACGACAGATGACATAATTGTCGGTGTTCTGCTCAATTCTACTCATATTATCAATATGCATTGTCTGGGCGTTGTTCCAAACAATAAGCACTATTTAAGCACTAATGCTACCTGTACTAATGTTGCTAATTGCTAATGAGGAATGCTAAATACATGTGAGATCTGTCATTATTTTGTTTGCTTTAAAGACTTTCTAAAAATGCTTTATTCTAGCAGGTCATACCTTTGCAAAACTGGATTAAAAAAAATAACAACAAAAAACGACAACACAGGTTTAATTCCTAGAAACAACTTTCCTGCTAACTCAACCCAAGACATCCTCCCTCCCCTCCCAAGATAAAGTAACGTGTCTCTTTTTTTATTTTGCCGCTCTCATTAGTTTACCCTCCCTGTGTATTTCACAGTTCACAGGGTTCCTTACCAACAAGCTGCAGATTATGAGAGGCACTAATGTGTTTTTCAGGCCAGGAACGCGGCACACACAGAGCTCCACTGTGCCACCTTGACTTGTGTGATGGATGCATTCAGTTGAAATCCTTGTGGATTCTGACCTCCTCCACACAGATATCCATTCACGCCGCGCTGAGCGTAACGGCTGTTTCTCGGAGCATTCCTAAGACCTCCGATGTCCAACGCAGAGTCGGAGCCAGCAGAACGTAAATGCTGCTTCTGAGTGAACGGACCGCTTTTTTTTTTTTTTCCTTCAGAGGGTCTATGGCGTTGACTTGGTTTTGATTAACAAGCGTCATTATTTCAGTGAATAAAACTGGGAATAAGTCCTGTCGGCCGTTATTATGCTTGTGTAACAAGACTCCGAGAGAGAGAGAGAGAAAATAAATTGTGTACATGTATACGACCGTACGTATACAGTGCATGTCCTTCCAACACAAAAACACAGCTGGACTGTTTGGGGAGAAGGTGGGTGGCAGGCTCGAAACAAACTCCCCTGTGTTTCCTGTGTCACAAAAGTACAAGGAAAGCTTGTGATGAACCTCGATAAACAGACAAGCGAGGCTGAGTGTGTATAATCAAAGTGCTTCACAGATGTGCTGCCTTCCCGCCGTGATGGCCTCGTCCACTTGTTCGGAAGGTCCTCTTTACCAGGAAACAGTAGAAGTACACAATGTATCATTCTTCCTCTGCCAAGAGGGAGCAGACAGGAATCCACTCCTGGCTTTAAACAGCCTCTAATACCTGATTTACTAATACTTGTCAGGTTGATATGACGGCGTATTGACTGTTCTCGGTAGGGGAAAAAAAAGAGGAGTGCATTTCCGCCAAAAAACTCAAGAACTTTTTAGTTTAGTCTCAGATTTTTTAGAAGAACAAGGAAATTTATGAGATTCAAAAGTGGAAACTTTGCAAGGAAAAAATACTCTGAAATATTCAATTTTTTTCTAGAACTTTCTGACATTAATCTCAAAATTTCTATGCTTCTTTCTAACAAATGTTCAACTTCTTGAAAAATGTGTGGAAAGTTTTGAGTTTCAACAGTTTAAAATTTTTAAAACTTTGCCACAGATTAAAACATTCAAGTAAAAAAAAATGAAAAAGAAAATACAGCAGGAAAGCCAAAATATAGATCACAAATGTACATGTTTTCAAATGTGTTATTCTTTCACTCTTTTCTATGGTTGATTTCTACATAAATTGCGTGTTTCAAGTTATCGTTGCAAGAAAGAAAAGACAAAACTTCCAACGCTGCGTTTCAGGTTCTCGCTGGAAAGCCATGACCAATCAGGAGAAGCAGCCATACTATGAGGAGCAGGCCCGCCTCAGCAAGATCCACCTGGAGAAATATCCCAACTACAAGTACAAGCCGCGGCCCAAGAGGACCTGCATCATTGACGGCAAGAAGCTGCGCATCGGGGAGTACAAGCAGCTGATGCGCTCGCGGCGCCAGGAGATGAGGCAGTTCTTCGTGGGGTGAGTGTGGCTGGGGTTTTACGTTGTGCTTTCTGAGCGGGTTTCTCCATTTCTGGTGACCCGTCATTTCTCGCTTGTCCTCGTAACCGCAAAAATGACGAGAAAATCATGTTTCAGGGATCTATTCAATCAGTCAATTTTATTTATAAAGCACTCGTCATACTAAAAGTAGCTCACCAGGCAGATCTATTGAGAGTAACAAAATGCTGCACAAGTTTATTGCCAATAAAATGTGTGGTCTGAGATTGTCACAGTGCTTAGCTAAAATTTCAAATGCTGTAACATAATTTTAATTTCACCGAAATGTATTCGGACTACTTCTGAAACTATTAAAATTATTCAATAATCTTAATATTTTAAATGTCATCAAAGGTTTTTAAATTTTGTCAATGACAGTTTGGAGACTTTGGAAAGAGAGTTTCTTTTAGAATCACCATTCAGTAGCTAACTCTTATGTAGCCTTCGTTTAGGCTAGTTGTCCAGTCCAGGATCCTGAAGCTAAAGGCTAGCAGACATTTAACTTCCTAGAAGAGATTAGAAGCATTTCGATTCCAACGTGACATTATTAATAGCATTCACACAACCTATGACATTTTTGATTAGAATTATTGTAAGATGGCAGAAGCCTCTTGCCTGAAAAAGAGGCTTGCTTTTTTCAGGCAAGCCTCTAGCTTCAGCCAGTGGAGCAAATAACCTGTGTTTTATATTAAATGAATAAATCAAGAGTCTATTGCAGAACAGATATAAACTATTTCCTGTTTCAACAGAAATTTACTTTCAAAGCGCTTAACTTTTTTGTTTGTTTGTCATGCTGCCTGCTTTCTGCTTCTTTACATAAAACGCTGTTGCTGGCATGCTAACTACTGTTAACGCTCTAATGAGAGTGATGTGCGATTTTCCATGAGTTTTCACATCGTTACATTTTTCCCCAAACAGACAATTTTGTCTGTTATGACAGAAAAGTGACAAGTCAGGAGTGTGCAGAAACAAGCAGAGGAGGGGCAGCATCATGTTACTCTGTACTCCATACAGGCTGTGAAGACTTCGATCCAGATTTTTTATTTAAAAGAAGGAGTAAATTTTATAACATTAGTATTCTAACCCTAATTGTGTATTTATTTTAGGCAAAATACTTCATGATATGCACTTTGGTTAATTTGTATTTTATTGTTTTATGTTTTTTATGTGCTCCTGTGCAAAATGTTGCCATCTGAAGGTTTTTCTTTTTTTTATTGTAATACAAGAAGACAAAAATGAATTATCAACCTAAAGAATGTTTTTTCTTTCTTCAGAGCAGTCTTTGTGCTACTTTACAAAATGTTTCGATGACAACTGATTGCTTTATTTGAGGCTTTATTCTCTCATGTGTGCTGCACTTGGAACCCTTATGGAAGGTCTGGAGCCCACTGTGGCTCCATCTGCGAAATAATTCAGGCTTTTGCTTAAGAACATTATATTTTTAAGAGAATAGTCAGACCAGAAAGGTAGGGGGGTGGGAGGGGAACAGTGGCATTGTCTTTAATGGGAACCAGTCGCGGACGTGTTTAAAGCCATCTCAGTGGTCTGAGTTTGAGATGGATCTACCAGAGGCCGCGGCTTTAATCGGGAGCGATTTTTAATAGCTTGTCATTTATTAAATCAGGACAATGGCGGGTGCTTGCGGGCAGCGAAACCAGAGACAGACAGACAGAGTGGAATATGAAATGTAAGCAGATGTTTGAGAGGGGAAAGAGAGCTGGGGCAGACGTCACAGGCTCAGCGCCACATTTTCTGTGTGTGTGTGGTCAAGTAAATATGAAAAAACGCTCAGGCTCTACCGGGCCCTGGGCTTTCAGTTAGAGCCGCGCCGCTAATTCACGGCACAGTCCACACAGCTAAACCAGCGGCGTCTTAATGTGGCAACGAGGACGGGCGACGACATGTTGGGCGAGAAACGATTTGCCCGCTTCATGTGGTGCGTTTGGGGGCCTGTTTAAACAATGTTTACCCTCATCCCATTTGTATGTCTGCAGGCTAATTAGCTCATCCTGCCACTAACAGGTAGCGCTCCGTGCTGGCGGCACACTGGTCCACAAGACAAGCTTTACACTCAAGTTTGTTTGTCTTTTCTGTTAATCCTAACAGCAGGTTCACGTTCAAGAATTGTTAGAAAAACATCCCAATTTCCTCTAAACCTCTTCATTTCAACGTTTCATATCCATCTGTGTTTTGAATTGCTGTTTCTAAAGAAAAGTAAACTCACCTTCTTCTGTCATAATTGATTGTGATTTGCATTCAGTTTTATGAGGATACATGTGCCCCAGAGAGGTTAGCGAGACCCCTGCCAAAAAGTTAGGAAATCTGTCAGCAGAACAGCAACTATGTTCTGTTTGGCTAGCCTGTTAGCATGCTGGTTTCAGCTTCTATGTACCAACACATGGAACAACAGGTTAATAAAATAGCTCTAGTCATTCAGTTTTTCAGTGCAGATGAATTACATTTTCTCTTTGTTATAACGCCCCAAAAGTATATTGTTCCAGTTCATTTTTAGCATGTTGATGTTGCCAAAATCTATGAGCGACCAGACTGGAAGCGCTTACAGTTACAACAAAACAAGCAACAACAAAAAAACAAAACAAATGGAAGCAAAACACATCTTCTCTTTCACTTTTAGGGTGTAATTTTAACATTAGAAAACAATTTATATCTCAAATGGTGACTTACGTTTAGAAAGGCTGTCAGTTGGAGATGGGGTTGTTCTGTAGGAAGGGCTGTTTGTTAGCAAAAAGCTAAAGAGAAAAGACTTAAAAGAGTGAATGTCGCTCTCTGACTATCTCAAAGAGCTCGGTAAAGATGTTAGCTTTGAACTGAAATGTGTTTTTGCCCAGGAATGCTTATTTTCTTTCTTTTTTTCTGAAATCTCAGGCCTCAACCGCAGATTTCTCTGGGCAACAGCTCGGGAGGCGTCGGCGTTTACCCGGGCACGATAACCATGGCGACGACGGCGACGCCCTCCCCGCACCTGACGTCGGACTGCTCCAGCACGTCAGCCAGCCCCGAGCCGAACATCCCCGTCATCCAGAGCACGTACGGGGTGAAGTCCGAGCCCGGCGGCGGCAGCAACGGGACGGGCGTCGGCGCCATGGATCTCCCCGGCGACCCCGCGAACGGAGACGACGACATGGACATGTACGAGGACTTTGAGGACGAGCCCAAATCAGACTATAGCAGCGAGCACGAGACGCGGGAAGTGGTCAGCGCCAACTGACCGCGACCCGGGGAGGAACGAGTAAAAAAAAAAAAACCCAACGACTCCCTTTACGTCCAGAGAGACGAACTCTGACAGCAAAGTTCATCACGGAGACCTCCGGGAAGACTTTTTTAGCGAGCATGCCCAGGCTTGTGGAAAGACTTGTGGAACAGTGTCTTGACAGGCGCCCGTTGAAGAAAAAGGGGGCCGAGGAGGGAAAAGGTGTCCCACCAACACGACCTCAACAATCACTCAGACTCTGAGCTGACGGGGAGCTGCGGTTTCCTACTCTGACAATCGTTTCAGGAGCGAGAGAGAGCGAGACGAACAAAGGAGCAACAAATGCATCACAACGCGGTGTGGTTTGTAGAGAGCATGCATGGGTTTTTCTTTTTTTTTTCCTTTTTTTTTCAGGCATCACAAAATGCTCTTTGACAGCTACTTGGTCTTAAATGTGTACAAGAATGTGTAAGTTTTACTATTATGATGTATTTGACCTTTCATGACCCCGTTTGGTTTTCTGACAGGCCTCACTGCCTGGACAAACTCTGGACTGTCGGAACTTGAAATTTCAAAAGTTTTTAATATAAATTCTGATTTGTGTTACCTTCTTAGTCTTACTTACTTTCAACATAGTGCTAAGCCTTTCTCCTCCACCCTCCTTACAAACTGCTTATATTACCTTGCTGTTAGTTTTTTTTTTTTTTTTGTTTTGTTTGTTTTTAAAGAAATTTCCCTGCTCAGGTATGATGTGCCAGCTTGTGAATGTCGTTTTTTTTTTTCTGTGTTTCCATAAAAGTAGGACTTTTAGCTGTTACATAGGTAGGATTTTTCAGACCTTCATTGAAATATAGGGAGTTAAATCCCTTATTATTATTATTATTATTATTATTATTATTATTAAGGAAGGAAAAACCCATACGTTGTACAGTTTTCTTCAGATGTGCCAAACATTCACATTGTCCCGGGATGTTGTAGTCTTAATTTCCAATGCTGCAAAAAAAAAACAAAAAAAAAAACAAACAAAACAAAAAAACGGAAGAAAAAAAAAAGTCTTATACAATCACGTTTTTTCCTATCTGGTGTGATAGATCATTTTGTTGTTTTTTTGTTATTGTTGGGTTTCTTTTGTTTCTAAGTAAAATGCTGGTTCCCCTCCTGATCCAGTCAGAGCTCAGGGAGGACACGTCTTCGTCACGCTTTCACTCAGTCACACCATCGTGTTGAAGCCGTTTCACTTCCAGACACGTCGTAGCGGAGTAGCTCATTTTATTCCCAACTGCACTGGTGCTTTCACGAACCACGTTGCTCTTAGTTCCTTCACGCCAAACCAGTTTGCTCGCTGCTTAGCGTAGTGCTGTGTCAGCACTTATGGGTGTCCCTTCAAATCAGGCTAACAGAGGTACTTTTTTTTTTAATGTATTTTTTGCATCTTGAATTAATTATTTCTGAAGAGATGTTTTGGTAAATGGTTCGAAGCACTTGATATTTTACCCAAATTACGTGACTCTTATTTACTGTAAATCCAGATTAGTTGGAGTTTGAGGCGGAACGTGCTAACTTGCCCGAGAGGAGCCGAACATAAAACGGGCTCTTACGGGTTTTAAGTCAGGTCCAGTCTCCGAACGTCTTACAATGTAAACAAATATCATTTTACAAACTATTGCTCTATAAATGCATCCATAAGAATTTTAGTAGTTGATTTCCAATTATCTTGAGACTATACATTACAATATCATCCAATTTTTTTAAGTCAAATTACATGTGTAAACATTTATAAATGAAAAAATGGAAAATCTGCATCAAGGTGCATCTCCATCATAAACTAGACTATTTAGTTTTTGTTTTTTTTTTTAAGTAGATAATGGATGTTTAAATGAGGACAAAAAGAGGTCGGAGGTCGTGCGCTGCTGATTATCTTCCTGTGTGAAACGTATAGAAAGAGTCAAACATGTGAAATGGTCCCACTCACAGTTGCTGTCTGATGTGATATTCATACTCAGAAAAATTAAAGGTATTTTAGCAGTTTGAGTGAGAGCTATTTTACAAAAATAATAACTCCAACATAGTTTTCAATGAGTTAGTTTCTGTGACCACACACGTGCGCTACACGTTTCTCTTAGGAAACGAATGTTGTCCCTTCGCCTCCTACCTTCAAGTAATCACTGTAAATATGCGTCCAGTAACTTCAGTTTAGGCATTTGAAAACTGACATTCCCAGATTGTTTTTTTTTTTTGTTTTAAGATGATAAAAGGTCATATTTGTCAGTCTCCTAGAGGTTTGCTTCAGCCTTCTGGTTCAACTAATCTGGATTTATCCAAAATGTTTTTTGGTCACCTTTCAACAGAACCTCACTTCAAAAATCATGACCTGCCCCTTTAAGACTTGCTGAAGTTTGAAGCTGTTCTTACTCTGGTTCAGACGAAAGGTGGGAAAACTGTCGCAGAGAGGTTCTACTGAAAAGATGTGATTACTGTGGATTTTGTGTTTTCAATTCGTCCTAAAATGTCTCCTAGCTTGTTTACTATAATCGTCCTCTTAGAAATAATGTGAAAAACATCTGAAAACTCGTACGTTTAAAGGCAAAATTAAACAGGTCTGTTATTCTAAAAAGATGACCTGTTGTGTTTTCACATAGTTCAAAATTAGCTGGACAGAGTTTCCTCACCATTTGATGCATAATGATACTGAGGGGAAAAAATATTTGTGCTCACTCATGTCAAATAATTTTTTAATTTAAAGAAGAAAAAAAATTGGTACCCTAGGTGCTTTTTAAACATTTTTTGAATTTTCTGCTTCATGACAAAATTTCTCCTTACAACTATTTCCATCCGTATTTATTAGGACTGAACGTTAGCTTTAGCTCCTGTTACATTTCTGTTAGCATCATACACATATTAAGCACTGGATATTAATTCTGATGTACTTTTCTTGTTTTTCTTATTGACTAATGTGAAGTTATTGTTTGATTTAAAACATTACAAATTAGTCAAATAAAATTAGATTTTTTTTTTTTCTGAGCGGGGCCTCGGTGTTGCCAGGCCCCATTAAAATTGCCATTTCTTTCAAAGCATTTCTTTTTATTATTATTATTATTTCATTTATTTAAGTGAACTTTGTTTCTCGCAGCTCTGAACGGGCCACGCCGCCTCTGATCTCTTTTGACAAACAAAAAAGAAAAAAGGTAACCTCATGCTCTTGTTAGTTGTGACCTGCGGAGGCAGAGCACACGTTCTCATGGTCACACACATTTCTGTTTTTATTTTTGTTTTTTTCTTCTTTTTTTTGTGATAAGTATTGTATTTGAAATTTCAATTGTGCGTTTTAACATTTCATTGTATTTATTAGCCTGCTTTGGCTCTAAAAAGTGTCAGTACAACTTGGTGAGAGAGACAATCTGAAAAAAATATATATATGAATAAAAAAAAGAGAAAAGACTTCAGATTAACGTTAAAGTGTTATTTGCTGTGTGTGTGTGTGTGTGTGACAGCAGTGGGACAGATAGTTCTTTACAAATTTCTATTTCCATTGCGCTAAATGGAGCTCGCTTTTTTATTTTATTTTTTGTTTTTTTTCTTCCAAGAATCTAATAATTTCCAACACAAGGCTTTCTGTTTCCAAAGCCTGACTATTCCCCTCGGTCTTTATATTTTTGGTGGCCCATTACAGTAAATGTGGCCTATTGTTCCGCTGTGTGTGTGCGCGAGTGAGGTAACGCTGCACACTCTTGACTGCGCTGCGGTGCAAACGCCACGGCGCCGGCGCTCGCTGCAGCCAATCCAGCGACACAAACGGAGAACTCAGCCACATGCGACCACATAATAAATCTAATTGTAATTCCCAAATCAACTGTAGCGTCACCCGTCGAGGGGCGCCGACAAGTTTGTCGCACTCCTTTGTAAGGTTGGGCGTGTGTGCGTGTGCGTGTGTGTGTGTGTGTGTGTGTGTGTGCGTTCTGTGCCATAACTCTGAGTTGGGAGGAGTGTTTGAAATCATTCTTGCGCCGTTGCCATGTTCATCTCATTAACGAAGTCATCATAACTTACTTTTCATTTTCTTAAACGTTTTGCAAGTTGACATACTGTGTGAGTGTGTTAATGGAAAGGTTTAAACACCTCAATACTTTGACAGTGTTGTTTTTAACATGATAAAACTTTGGTATGCAGCACAGGCGTCGTCATTAAAGTCACTGCAAAAAAACTTCATTTCAAAATAAAGTCACTTTAAATCAACGGAGTTCTCAAAAGTCCTGGTGAGTTTCAAGGAAGAAACAAAGAGGATGTGCTTTTAGTATCTTTGCACCGTCAAATCAGATAAACTGAAAAACGCTATAAAATGTCTTCAAAAAAAAAAAAAAGAAAAAAGTTGGAAAAGGCCATAATTGAGACAACTTTTTTTTGTTTTTAAAGCTGAGATAACTTTTGTGAATTGGTGCAAAATAAAACTAGCAGGGAAAGCTTTTATTTTGAAACAGGACGTGTTTTGAGAAAGTTTTTTTTCCCCCATTATTGTTCCTCTAATTGGTTATTTGCAGAATCCAGTTTAAGTGAAAACCTGTTGTTTCATCTACGGTCACCTTGGTGATCAGCCTGAAGCTCCCCGTCTCCACTCTGCCAGCAGTGAGTCGGACCCGGTTCTGATGAGAGTTCTGTTGAGAGTTGGGCTCTGCCAAAGGTCGTCCCTTTGTCACCGATTCTGTTCATGATCTTAACGGACAGAACTTTGAGGCGCAGCTAAAGTCTTGAGGGGATCCGTTTAAGTGGCCTCCGGTTCGGGCCTTTTTTTTTTTTTTTTTTTTTTTGCAGATGATGTGGTTCTGTTGGCTCCATCAGACCGTGATCTCCAGCTTTCCACTGGAGCCAAATGTGAAGTGGCTGGGATGGAAATCAGCACCATACTGAACAGTCTGGTCACTAGAGCACTTTGTTTGGCATCTTGTTAAAAGAAGTTTAAGCCATAGGAATGGCTTAAGGTTAAATTTAACTGGTTTTGAACTTTTTAAAGCCTCTATATATCCATCGTCTGTGACTGATTATGTTAATAAATGGGGGGAGAGAGCCCCAATGAGCCAACAAAGGAAGTAAAAAAAAAAAAACGAAAAAGGAAAACATGGTTTATAATATTCAACACTGGGGTTTGTCTATGTTCTGCCTGGGTGTAAAAACCGACAACACAGAAACAAAAAAGGTTTCACGCTGTTTATTTTTACCCAATTCTTAGGTTGGTTTGGGACGTAGAACACTCAAAGTACGTATAAAGATTTAACGAACTTGCTAAAAATAATTTTTTGCGTGTTTCTGGTCAGTGAAGGAGGAACACTGGACTAAAGGAAAGGGAGTTATGCAAGGGTTACCTATTTCTAGCTTCACTGGAACATATGGAAACCTGCTTGGGTTCCCATGTTGCCTTGGCACCCTGGTTTCTTCTACTCACACCTGAATAGTGCAAGTCTGAGTGCGTTTGTGCTATATTTAACCTGCTTTAAGGACAAAAAAAGAGTGCAGCTCTTTTAATAACACTTCAGGCTGCATCCAAACCAGACCACTTTAATCAAATTCTGGTTCGTTTTTCTTGAATGTCCGGTTCGTTTGGGGACGCGTGAATCGCCTATGATCCGCTTCCAAACTTGGGTCTTGGTTTGGGTGAAGTGAACTCTGGTGTGGTTCGAATGCATATGTGGATCCAAGTGGACTGGAAAAGGCTCCAAAGGTAGGAAGCGGACTAAAGTGCAGGGCATTCTGGGTAAATGCAAACAAAAGTCTAAGAAATACTCGTGTTTTACCAGAGACTTAAGACATCCTGCAGCCACTAAAATCTGACGCCACTTTTGTGAGGAAGGAAGTAATCCTTATGTCATAGAAGTTTTCATGGCGTTTCCTTCAGTGGTTCTGGGTGCAGCGCACCCCACAGGCGAGGGAGGGAACAGGTATTTCTATTAGTTTTGAGTATTTGAAGGCAAACCGTTCCAGGTGAAAATAGAACAACCGTTGAAGTAATTCTTTCTAGTTTCCAACATGAAGAGGTTTCTCCTCCATAGAGTCCCGTGGGCGAAACAATCCCTGGTGAATGAAGATTCAGACCAAGACTCTGTCTCTCGACAGTTACAACTCAGAGGACTAAAGATTGCTGATCTATCAGTGTCTGAAGAGGATCTCCCTGGAAATCACATAAGGTGAGTAATCCTTCACTTCCTGTTTGTCCTTCCAGTAACTCACTTTACTGTCTCACAATGTTTGACCTGTAAGCTGAGCCCAAGAAGAAACTACAGATTATCTTCATGTTCTTATTTTTGCAAGTAAACCTCGTTTAACCTTTCCTACTGTGTAGACTAAGTGTTTCTCAAAGTGAGAGGTTGGCAGGGGGCGCTGTGAGGGCATCAGAAAGTTGGAGGTAAGATGAGAAAAAAAAATATAATAATCCCATATCTATTATTCAATCATGATTTTTTTTGTGACAAAAAATAAAATGTAATTTGTTTAAATGTTTTTTTAAGCTCATTTTCTGATTGGCTAACAGTCAAATTTGTCATGCTGCTATGCTCCAGAAGCTAACAAAGAAATGGAAATGTTTCTGACAACAAAAAGACCAAAGGAACCGCTGAAAAAAAAAAACCCCATTAGAACTGCAGGGCGGGGACATCAAATATGATGTGATTAACATGAAACATCACATATTTTCTTATGTTGAAAAATTGTATCATTTCATAACGCTTTCTGCCGCAGAATTCATGGTTATCCAAAATCAGTAGGTGGCAGCATTTATGCTAGATGAATGTAATAGTTATTGAACCATGCAGAAAAACACATTCTAAAAGTTCATGTTTCTCTACATATTTTGTAGCATCGCCTGTGGGTCTGCAGACTGAAGCTCATGCTCTTTGGTGGGGGAAACTTTTTAATACACAGAAGTGTGTTATGAAGTTGGATTAACAACTAAGTCTTTTTTGAAAACATGGGATGTTTCTGAGAGTGGTAGGAAAGTAAAATAAAACATTTGACTTTCACAATAGCCTAGTTTAGGTCTAAGCGAACCCTGAAGCTTCATTATTGTGAGTCAGTTGAGTTTTCGGAAATCTCCCTGATAATCTTAGAGGAGCTGTGACAATAAAAAACAAAAAAAGGGGCAAATATTAATAATCACAATAATTACCTAGCCATGCTGTGATGGTAAACGTGTCTTTCAGCTCAGTGATTATACACACTTTGAATTTACCTTCCCTTGTCGTGGCTCTGCCGTGTGTGTGGGGATGATGAGGTATAATGACACCTCTTTCTTCATGAAAGCGGGCTGGATGGGGGCCTCCAGGCAAAAAAGCCACGTTTTGATTCTTAAAATCCATACTGAAGAGCGAGGGGGATCCACATCCTTTCTTTTCTCTCTTCTTTTACCTCTCCTTAGCAATCGGCCACGTAGATCAAGAGAACTGTAAATTGCAAACACAAAAGACGGCCCCCTTCCTGCCCCTCTTCTTCAGATGTGTTGAAGAGGCTTCTTCATGGAGACATCAAAGCGGAGCTGCTGTGGTGCTGACTACTTTGGGTTTGTGGTGCTTAAACGGTCAAATGCTCGTCAGTCCAGATGAGTTTAATTGGCCTCACACTTTGTTTCTGTCCGGCTAACAGCGAAGGTAAGAAGTTGGCCGGAATCCTCCATCGATGCGCCTCGTCTGACGCCTCACCCTGTAATTCAGCCACGCTGCAGCATGGTGCCACCAGTGTCATTGTTGTCACCGTTGCGTTACTCGTGTTTTATTTTATGCGAGAAACATGAAGCCAAGCACGCAAGCATTCACGCTGCCCTTGAATGAAAGGCTCAGTGTTATGTAAAGTCAACTTTTTTGAGCCGTCATAATTTTTTCCCCTCATTAAAAAGGTATCTGGACTGTTGCTTTGATTCTTTCATGCCTGTTTGAGAAAACATTTAATCTCCATGGCAACCATTCAGCTGTGCAAAATGCCTGGGCGGACCCAGCCCCGCCTTCAAGGACGAAGCTCCTCCTTGGAGCTGCAACTTTCCAAGCTTCTGCCCCACCCACCACTGCCCCACGCAGCTCCTTCAGACTAGCCAGCAACAATTAGCAGTTCCACAACAATGTGGGAGTGCACATTATTGTAAGAGCTATTTCTCAGTGAAACGGTTTAATAGTGAGAACATTTTTAGAGGACCAATGTTGTGATGACTTCCTGAAGGCAGAGTTTCAGAAAGAGCAGAAGTTTCTTAAAGAGACAGAGGCCCAATTTCAAGGTGCCATATTATCAAATCAAATCTCTTTTAAGTCATATTTTCTAAAAATAAGCAGACACACACACACACACACACACACACACACACACACATATATATATATATATATATATATATATATATATACACCATCACAGCATGGCTAGGTAAGTTACTGGATGTTTGTTTTTTAAAATGATTCTTTGTTGCTGGAAACAC